ACATTTACAGCACAGCTTTTTGCAGTTCCGCTGGTGCTATTGCAGGAAGCTGCAATTTGTGGATGTAACTTGTAAAATTCTTGGACATGATGCCAAGTTATTATTATTATCATTGCAAACTGAAAGATGAGCTGTAAATGGGGGGGGGGGAATTAACAGTGATCACTCGATCGGTGCCAGCATATGTTTTGTCATTCCAAATCGGGGTTCACCTGATTCAGTTTGAAAATAAATAAATAAATAAATAAATAAATAAATAAAGGGACGATCAGCTCTTACCAACTTTTTCAACGATTCAAAATTACTCCCGAAACCCTTGATAGGAAGGACCATCAAAACATTTGCTCCCTTTCTCATTCTCTTATGCTGCCACTTCACCCGTTTTCTTTATGTTTCTCAATTCTTTCTTTGAGGCAGCCCCCCCATTCTAATTAACTGAGACCGAAGATATCCCATTCTTACATCTTTTGCTACAGCGGGCCTCCTGCAAAACCAAACATATAATGTCTCACCGAGACATTATAAAGTGGTACTAACGCTTCGCACGATCTTAACCCTATCCCTCTTTCTTTCTGATGGTCCCACCTTGTCCTCAACAAGACTTTTCACACTAAATGCCCAAGGAATCTCAATCCGCGCTGACCTCTTTGAAAATATATCTAGTAGGCCGGGGAAAGGCAAAGAGGAGTTTCAGACGAGACTCTTTCCATCTTTAAAGAAAAATCATCTTAACATCTCCAGAAATAATGTTTAGCCGAGATCTCGTTGGCCGCTCTCTAGCCAAGCCCCTTTCCTGCTGTGTGATGCCGATGTGACCACACCTCACTCACACCCAATGACCCTGCTGTCCGGCGGTCCTTAAACCTGGAGAGAGAGAGAGACTTTGGAAAATAGCGATAGTGCCTAGGCTTCTATACCGCTTCACGGTGCTTTAAAGTCTTCTCAAAGCAGTTTACATAGTTGGCCTGTTGCCCCCCCCTCCCCACAACAATCTGGGTCGCACCATTCAGTCTAAAAGCCCGGATTAGGTTTGAGGTTGGATATTGCAATGTTTCATGCCTGCTCTGTGGCTGTTGTGTTTGGGTTTTTTAAAATGTCCTCTTCAAACTCAAGACACTGAAATGACTCTCCCCTTTCCCGTAAATCAATCAAGAGAGCAAAATCGAAACCATCAGTTATCCTGTCATAACTTTCCTCACCAAGAAAGCAGGGGCCTCGTAAGATTTTTTTTTAATCCCCCCCCCCTCCCCAGGCAGACCTCCAGGAAGAAGAAGAAGAAACCACCACAAATAGCGGCTCGGATGTGTGCGGACCATTCCCCTCCCGCCCCCCGTTTGCAAATAGAAAGTTGCTTTTTTCTGTTTGCAGCGTGCCCTTAACTCAAGGTATCTTCCTTCCTCATAGGGTGTGTGAGACAGGCCTTGGCAGGGGAAGAGTCCTCTTTGCACAGTCTCCTTGGCTGTGGGGGAAGGGGAGATGGGGGGGGAACGCGGGAGCGAATAACCAGGGGGTTCATAATCAGGATAATATGGGGGTTCATAGAGAAGCAGCCTTTCGCAACGCGGCCAAACCCCTCGCCGAAAGCGTTCCCTTCATTCTTGTGCGTTAAATGGTTTTGCGTTTTTTGTTCCGAACAGCCCGAAAGGAAAAAGCTGGTTTGATGGATGCTTATATTCAAGGTTCAACTAATGGCTAGTCGGCTGGGAGGTCTCTATGAACCTCCACGTGAAAAGAGAGAGAGAGAGAGAGAGAGAGGAGAAAGACGTAGAGCTCGTACACTGGAGGGCGGGAGGGGGAATGCGGGGGGGGGAACGAAAAAGAAAACGGATGTTGCCCTGTCTAGACAAAAAAAATAATAATTAAAAAAAGAAGAAGTTGGGATCGGTGGGTTAGTTATTAGGAAGCAGGTGCCAGCTGTGTAGAAAAGCCACTTATCCAGAAATCTCTTCCCGCTGTTCCTTGTTCCGGCGCACTTCGGCTGCGTGCAGTTCCTGGAAAACATAGAGATAATTACAGAGGTGAAGGCAGCACAATAGTTTGCAGCGGGTGTGTGTGTGTGTGTTTCAATTTTTTTTTACTACCAGTTCGGAGGGTGTGGCTAGATGGGGGGAGCATGTGACTGAGTGGGTGTGGCCAACTTGACGTCACTCACCCACACTCAGTCATATGACCTCCTCACCAAGCTATGCCCACTGAAATGGTGGTGAAAAGTTTTGACTGGGGGGGGGTGGGGGCGCGACGGGCTTCCAGCCTCACCGGAGCTAAGTGCAAACTACCCAGTAAGGCTTCAGCAGAGCTGGGGGAAGGCAAAAATGCCATTGTTTTGGTGAAAAATGGGCGGAAAACGGGCCGTTTCCCCCCAAAACGGGCATTTTTGCCTTCCCCCAGCCCTGCTGAAGCCTGCAGAGTGCTTCTGGAGGCTGGGGGAAGGCAAAAACAGGTCCATTTTTACAAAAAAAAGGCCCATCTCTAGGACTCCCTCTGGGACTGGCATGGGCACACTATTAAAAAAGGGGTGGAAATTACATTTTTTCAATGAAGTTTGTTCTGCGCAAGTGCAGAACAGAAAATAAAGATGGCGCCACCCAGGATAGAACCGGTACGGTCACGAGTCCAGCCGAGTCCCGACCTATTCAGCCGAACCAGTCCAAACCAGTAAGAACCCACCTCTGGTTTGCGAGGGAGAAGCACCTCGGGGGCAGGATTGCCCATCTTGACGAACAGGACAGGGAGTCCTTGACTTACAACCCGGAAATGAGCCCCAATTTTTGGAAAGGCAAAACTGACACCCAGCCGGGTGTGACATGAGTGACGCAAGGCAACCCCTGGCGCAACGTCTCCCATGTTATGCCAATACGGAGTGTGCTCAACTTATGGCCATTGGGGCCAGAATTTCTGTGGCTGAGCAAGGCCACAGGTCACTCAGTGAGGGGTGCCCAGTTTTACGACGTTTTTGGCTGAAGTTGTTAAGCAAATCACTGCAGTTGTTCAGTAAATCATGTTATTAAGTGAAATCAGGTTCCACACACACACACCCAATGATCCATCATTGTAAGTACATCGGTGATGGGTTCGGACTGGTTTGGCCAAACTGGTAGTGGTTTGACGCCTGGGCTGCTGGAACCAGCAGTGACCCAGACCTGTCACATCCCCGAACCAGTTCCACAGGTGACGCCGATGGCACCGCCATCTTGTTTTTCAGTTCTGCGCATGCACAGAACAATTTTAATTGCACTGCGCGTGCGTGCGTGCAAAGCACACACACGAGCAAACCGGCATTAGTGCCTGCCGGAACCCACCCCTGAAGTACATGCAGATTGCCAAGCCCCCAAATTTTGATCCCGTGAAGTGGGGATGCTGTAATAAGAGTCGTAAGTGGGAGGACCAGTCGTAAGTCAGCTTTTTCAATGCCACTGTCACTTTGAACGTTCGCTAAGCAAGTGGTTGTAAGTCAAGGACTATCTGAATAGTATCTAGCCATTCCATTCACACATGCTAAGTTGGTTAGTATTAATCTTGGTTAGGGTTTCTTTTTTTCCAACCAAGCCTTTTGTAGTAACTCATATTTGTTTATGATCAGTGTACAGTTAATCCTTGATTTACAACCAGAAATGAGCCCAGAATTTATGTTGCTAAGTGAGAAATTTGTTAAGTGAGTTTTGCCCCCATTTTCCTTGCCACCGTTGTTAAGAGAATCGCCGCAGTTATCAAGTTAGTAACAAGGTTGTTAAGTGAACCTGGCTTCCCCATTGACTTTACTTTTCAAAAGGTCGCAAAAGGAGGTCATGTGACCCTGGGACACTGTGACCGTCATAAATATGAGTCAGTATCAAGTGGCCAATGGTGACCACGGAGATGCTGCAGTGGTCATAAGTGTGAAAAAATGGTCAGAAGTCACTTTTTTCAGTAACTCCTAATGGTCATTAAATGAACTGTTGTAAGTCGAGGACTGCCTGTACTCCCCTGGGACTGTGGATGGAAAGTTGGGAGAGGAAAACAGGGCAGGAAAGTTGCCACCTGCTATCTTCGAGCATTTTTTTTCTCAACACTGGCAATTTTAAGATTCATGGAAATCAACTCCCAGAATTCCCCTGCCAGCCATGTTAAAGTTGAAGTCCACGCATCTTACAATAGCAGAGTTGGAAGGGACCTTGGAGGTCTTCTAGTCCAACCCCCTGCCTAGGCAGGAAACCCTATACCCTTTCAGACAAATGGCTGTCCAACATCTTCTTAAAGACCTCCAGTGTTTAAGAAGATACAGGTGCCTTCCTGATATTTTCACCCAAGGGTTTAAAAATCCTTCCTTGAGCTCAGCTACTTGGAAATGAATGGCACAGAATCAGATTTCTGCACCAGTTATCAATTCTATTTGAGAAATTTGAGATAATGCATTAATCT